TTCGAAACGAACAACTTAATAAAATAAAAGATATTAATTGATAATTATCACTATAATTAAGAAAATTAAACAACAATGTTCTAGTGGTTACTATTGATAAACATTACCTTAAAATATAAGAAAATTGCTCATGTTTTTAAAATAGTTTCTATTTTAATATTTTATCTTTTTTACGTATTAGAAATAAAAGAGTTGTTGAAATATGTGATTTTATATATATTATGCAATTCACACGTAATTTTCCTTCTTTAGATAAGTAATTAGATAAATATACGCATTAGTCATAATGCGTATAAAGTAACAACTGCGACGTTTTGAATATTTTAAACGATTAATTAAATTTACTCACATTAATTCTTTATTTTTCCAATACAAATCTGTATATTTTTCATTCGTCAAAAGATCAATATCTTTATTACAGAAAGAATATCAATCAGTTCTTTATTTGTCTGTGATTAAAAAAGAGGCACTATTCTTCCTACAACAGAGAGAATTTTCTCTTAGAATTTACCTTGAAAATCATGATAATCAGTGGGACAATATTGGAATTGGAAGAATTTTATAAGAATTTCTCTGATTAATATTTACCACAATAAAAAATATTAATATGTACATAGTAAAATTAATCGAACATATTTTATTGTGGTAGATATTATTATTTTAATTTGTGGTATATTATATTAATCAAAGAAACTCTCTTATAAAATTTTTCCAATACTATATTATCCCATGATTGCCATGATTTTCAGGGTAAATTTTAAGAGAAAATTCTCTCCGTGTACAAACTCTTTTCTTACAAACTTCAAATATTGTTATATCTATAATATTATTCAAATATTATTATCAAATCTTATTCTATCTTCAAATATTATTATATATATAAAATTATGCATTTGCAACCGTCTTGCCGGATATAGTAATGCAAAAATATTCGACATTCAATCAAACCTAAAAAAATACGACGCAATGCATCGTTGCAACGACGATTCCTTCCGAATTCCGGGCGCGATTTTATAATAAGCGCGAGTCGAACGAGCGATAGCAGGCGGGTAAAGCGGATTTGCAGAACCACCGTTGCAAATCCGAGAGCTATAAAGAAGCTTTGTAGAAAAAAAAATTAAAAGCGGGAGTGAGTCTCAAGGGTTGCGAGAGCAGTACCCTCGGTCAGGGTCGGCGAGTGTAAGCGAGTACGAAGGTAGATCAATGTCGATGTCGACTCACGTGTCACCGGATCTAAAGTCGACGATAAGCGCAACGTTAGCGCGGTTGGTCGTGTTATGGATCGTGGTTAGGAAACGACGTAGGAATGCATCAGCGATAAATTCATGGGTGCAATCAGTTCCGCGGAACATGTTCTACGGTGATTCTAAAACTCGGAAGAAAAGAAATCGCGGAAATAACGCAGTGGACGATGCGGTAAGCCGATATTCAAATCGAGTCCGATTGGATCTTAAAGCGCGTGGACAGAGCCTGGCAAATGCAATTTAAACGCGCGCACGTATATCTCGGAGAATCGATGGACTCGAAATCCTTTCAAGCCGGTTCTAAACGATCAACTCGTTCGCCAAGCCGAGATGAACCCAGAATCATAAGCGCGACGCAAACGGAATCGACGGGACAATGTAGTGATTGATGCAGAGATATGTCACATTCTTATTTAAGATTGAGTAATGGATAGACTTTTTAGTATACCATGTGAGAGCGCACTATATGTGGTCAATCATCAATTTCTAAACATAAATTTTCAATTAAAAATGAAAAATCTATTTTATCAATGTTATCGAACGTAAAACATTATTCATCTATAGCTATGGTGACCATATTTTCTGAGAAAAAAATAAAGGATAAACCTGAAAATTTTAGGGCTTTGTTTCAACAAAAAAATTCTATGCTTATCAGAATTATATATTCTTATAGTTTAAAACTGATTCTACGACTATGTTGAAACAAATCCTTGGTTTCTTAAATAGATTTCGTATAAGTTCCATTATTTTTTTACAAATTCTCATATTAATATTACGAAAATTATTAAAACGCGAAATAAAAAATAAAAGACGAAATTTAGATTTGGAAAATGAATAAAAGATAGCTACTTGAAATAAAGGACTGTCCTCTAAAATAAAGGATGGTAACCGTATCTATAGCTCTTTTACAAATTATATGAAATAGTAAGATTATAGATAAATTAATTACATAAGTGCGAACATACATATGACACAAATGAATCATTTAAAACTGGCTCCTTTTTATGACGACTCGTTTATTCGGCTCGAATCTCGTGCTGAGGTAGGCGAATTCTTTAACACGTGATTTTGCAGCTGTAATGCGAGTAGCTGCAATTTCTACCATAAGATATAATGCCGTCATGAGGCAACGTTGCGTTATTTCTTGTTCATTCTTTTGCGCCGAAAGTTTTCTTTTTATATAATTATCTATTGAATATTTAGTAGCTGTTAAAACGGTCTTGTGAATACTTTACGCGTCGCATTACATAATGACGATTGCTAATGATAATGAACATCAACGGTTGTATGTTACTTTAGCTTAATGAACCTAAAGTATTTGCTTTGTTTCAAATTATTTCTACCGTGTCGCTTTTAATCTTCGAGGTAATCAAGATTTTTTTTTCTTTTGTCGCAGCATTTTATATGACGTTAATGTGTTCCTTGCCATTATAAATGATATTAATTATCTTCGATTGGATTTTTTTATTCTTGAAATCAAATAAATCAGAATTGTAATTTTGTAGAGACAACTCTTAAAAGTAATCGAAAATTCGAAACTAGACTTTTAGTCAAGAATAAAATAAAGTGTTGTGTGACAAATGATGTGAACATGTTTTGACCTCCGAATGAATAATCGAAAATCTATGATTATCGTCGATAATTGATCCGCGCGTTATAATCCTTCTCTCCCATCATAACACGCGCAAATTAATAATGCGACACGCATCATCGCCAAATGTCAACCTGCGAAAATGAGATCGAAACGCATTGTCGCGTCGACGCTCCTCCGGTGAATCAATTTCGTTCTATTATTACGATCGCTGACGAGATGCAACGGCAAAAGAAGGCAGATGACTCACTTGGCTGGTTGTGACATACATACATACCTACATATGTATATACGTGTGTCTGTGTGTGTATATGTATATGTGTGTGGGTGTGTGTAGATACATATGCATATGTGTGCACGTTCTCTTATGAGAAGAGAAGGTACGGCAATGAGTCGTCGCGCCGCTGCAACGATCACTGCCTGCAATCGTTTCTCCTTCATTACTCATCGCCTGAGTGAATGATGCAGATCATGTTCCGGACAAACAGTCGCATTTACACGCACGCGCGAGAGGACTTGTACGCGTTTACATTAACGCATATGTGTTCTCTTTTTTTTAAAAACGTTAGCGTCAGAGCAGCGATTCCCATTCGCTTCGCAATTCCTTCCATGCAATATTTATAATGAAAAACAATCTGCATTAAAAGCGGGATGAAGGTACTTTTCCGGAAATGATATGGGAATTTACACTCTATTCGATTATGTTATCTCTATCAGAAATTAGTACCTCAAAATAAAACTTTTATATTTTTTTCTTTATATAAGCAGTTAAATTAATTATTAATAACTGTGTAAAATAATTGAAAATGTTTTTTATTGTAATTGACACTGAGTATTTAATGTGAAACGTTTAATAGCACTTTTTGCATATCATGGGTTGGGAATCGCTGGCGTAGGAGGACTTGCATAACACGCATCGTAACTGTCTGTCTAGATCAGCTGACACGCATAATTATTTCGATGAAGTACCATCTTCTCTTTTTTTTACTCTCGTTACAGACAATATATTCGTAATTAAATGCGACTGCAGTCAATGCTTTAAAAAACGATAATCGGCAATATATTACGTATGTGTGTTAGAATATTATCATATTATTTATCCTTTATTTCTTATTCTACAATTGACCTTGGATTACTTTCATGTTATATACGATTTATAAATGTGCGCATAAAATGTGCGTTTAAAAAAAAATATGATTAACCTACTTTATTATTTTGTATCGCGAGTATGTAAATTTATCATTTGAATTTTTTTTCTCTAAATGTAAAATAAAATCTCGTATTACGTTTCTGTCAACGAGAAATATACGTGATAGTATCGAATGTCTCATATATGTTTATAAAGTGGATACACTCTTATAAACAGTTGATAAGCTAAACAAACTAAAGTCAACTCAACAGCCAACCTAATCGTTGAATATACGATTGAATACTATTAGAGATATTCTCTTTACAAAATGAAGACGTGAAGAAATAATTATTGTATATTTTAAACTCCACGGCTATGATCAATCATTTTTAAAGATTTTTTTGTATCTCCTATTATTAAAATTGTAGCGAGGTTACTAATATATTCCTCTTTTAAGAGATATAAAAAGGCATAGTTATATAAAAGAATGACTTTTTCCTAATCTTAAAATGTAATACACAGAAAGAATTTTCTCTTTGAATTTACATTGAAAATCATGATAATCAAGGGACAATGTGGTATTGGAAGAATTTTATAAGAGTTTGATTAATATTTAGCACAATAAAAAATATTAATATATGTATATGTATCCATAGTAAAATTAATCAAACATTTTATATTTTATTGTGGTATATTGTAAATATTATTATTTTTATTTGTGGTAAATATTAATCAGAGAAACTCTTATCAAATTCTTCCAATACTATGTATATATTATTCCATAATAATCACGACTTTCAGGGTAAATTCTAAGAGAAAATTCTCTTTGTAAAATGATCGTTTCTACTTATAAAAATATCATCTATAATTTGCAATATCTTCGTTCTACGACGGCTCTCAAAATATATTAGCGTTCTTCACGATTTAAAAATCTAATCGTCTTTGCTATGCGCGAATATATATGCATACGAGATAGATTCAAAGTTGATCGGTCGGCACTTTGTATGATATTATTCCGAAGTTGCCGATTCACGTGCCATGAATATTTACGAACGATGATGCTGATTGAACTGTGGTGGCTCGTTGTTTTATCGCGTTGACTCGATTAATGAATTCGTTCGAAACGAATGTGATCGCGTCTGGGAACGAGCATTGCACTAATTGTCGAGGACACGACCGTACGGAATGCTAATTGTTTTCGAATGGTGCACACACAATTACGCTCTCTCAAATGCTTTAGTCACTCTGTCGAAAAGATCTCGGCATTCACATTTGTCGGACGTCATGGAAGAGTGCGCAAACGCTGATCCTGAGATCGCCTGACTCTCGTGTGACTCTACTGCTATTAGTCATAATTAATATTCTAGGAAGTGTTTTTCTCTATTAGAAATTCAAAATGCAGAAAATAAAATAATCTGCTCAATGTCGAAATACAAACGGTTTTTGTGCCGATTAGAAGTTCAAAGCTCTTGTGAAATTTATTCTTTATTATAAAGAGAGACCATAATTGCATGTATAAAAAGGTGACTGTTTCCGAAACTACTATATATACATATATCTGCAATTTCCTTCATTGTAATGCAAGACGTTTAAATTTTATTTCCGGTACGCTCTATTGCATCGTCGTGCGAACGTTAAAAAAAAAACGTATCCGAAGGTCGTAAAATTTGTTGTTGCATCTATAGTCGAAGAGTAGGTATACGCGATTATGTGGTTATATTGCGTATCATTTAGATTGTAGAGACGCACGGAATGTCTAGAAATTTAAAATAGCGATAAATCACGTCAAGCAAAAATTATGTTAAGTGCAATACTGCGCTTCTGTTATCTGTTGCATATTATTTTGCGCACTTATGAATAACAATAATTACAGATCCGTTGCTCTTCGAGCAGCGAACTTTGCGATAATTCAAATTCCGAATGGATCGAGTATCCGATAGCCGAATGCATGTAGCTATGCATAATAATTTAAAATGTGTTGCGTATTACGCGCCGATCGGAAATTCCACGATTCCCGCAAATATATTCGGTCGCGCGACCCGCGACCTCGATTTTCACAACACGCGTCTCTTTGCTGGGAAATGACACATATACGTATAGGAAATCGCGGTGACACGTCTGGTATCTTCTTCGAGAACGTTTGATGAACGACATATAATTTTCTGCAAGATGAAGATGCTCGAATCAAGAGCTTATCATTCTCAGAATAAATTAATCACTCGCGGAATAAAATTTCTTTAATTTAAAGTAATTGAATAAATTTAATAAATTTCATTAATCTTGTAATTTATCAAATATATTAATATACAAGATGTATCTAAATAAGTGCGAAAAATTTTAGGAGATGATTCTCTGTTGAAAACGGATTTACGAAGGGAGTTTCTTATATATAAGCATGTATTCTTATACATCTCTCCCTTGAGGAGTTATTTTTTTAATATTAATAAATATCCTTTTTATTAGTAGAAAATATCTATCAAGTTTCATCTTTTTAATTTCTCCGAAATTTGAGAAAAAAACGAAAACTAAATTTTACCTCTCTCTTTAGAAAAGTGTAACTCCTCAGGCAGAAGGATATATAAAGAGTACATGTTTATACATATATAAGAAACCACCCTTAATTTTCGACAAAAGAATCATCTCCTAAAATTTTTCGCACTTATTTATAGATACGCCTTGTATATATCGCAAAAAATAGAGAAATATAATAAAGTGAAGTCACACATGGTAATCACGTGTCGCATCGGCCGCACCCTGAACCGAACGCTTTTACTACGAGGAGCGTACACGGTGATAAGGAGAATATCACGACGATATAGTCAGATACGTCGCGACCCGGTAGCGAATCGCGCGCGTGTCGCAAAACTTCGAGCGACGTTACGTTACTGGAAACTGGGGCCCCTATCACTCCGCAAAGCGACATGATTCTCTTCCTCTTTCCTTCGTCTCTTATACTGCGAGACACCTACACTTATTGTTAGGTATCTCACGCGTGCATTGCGTGGCTACTACACGTATCACCCGCACCACACGCTTATATATGCATCCTTGCGGCAAATGACGTGCACAACGTAAATCTGATAACACGAAAATATGATTATAACTTATTCGCTAATAAACTAAACACGCACGCGCATAGCTTGTCATTATAATTATCATATTTATTAATTTTTTTTCTCTTCATTATTATCGCCACATCAAAGGATATGTTTCCGATATGGTGCTTATTAAGGATACACATTTCGAAGGATCGTCAATATATTGTCATATATTGTTATATGTATATCTCGATATATTAACAATTTTGCGATGCACTGAGAACAAAAAGTTGTTAACTTGACTAAATCGTTTAACTAATTATTATTTTGTTAATTGAACATATAGAAGGATTTAAATGAAATACAATATATTAAATCCAACATAACGTATTTTACTTAAATATTTATATACAGGGTATATCTAAATAAGTGCAGCAAATTTTAGGAGATAATTCTTTGTCGAAAATTAAGGGGGGTTTCTTATATAAATATACATATACTCTTACAGCCCTCCCTGAAGAGTTACATTTTTCTAAAGAGGGAGGTAAAAATTAAATTTTTATTTTTTTTCTCAAACAGACAAATTAAAAAAATGAAACTTAATGGATATTTTCCACTAATAAAAAGGATATTTATTATATTAAAAAAAAATAAAAATTTAAATTTTACTTCCCTCTTTCGAAAAGTGTAGAAATAAAAGTATATGTTTATATGATAAACCTTTGTTAATTTTCGACAAAGAATTATTTCCTAAAATTTTTCGCACTTATTTAGATGCACCCTGTATATTCAATTAACAAAATATTAATTAATTGAACGCATTTAGTCAAGTTAACAACTTTTTCGCAGTCTGTGAAGTAAATCTCTAAAACTGATTTGCAATATTCCAGAAATCTAACAATGTTATAAGCAAGTACGTATGAAATAATTTATCAAAATCTATAAAAGATCGTTTGAAAATAACAGTCCATGAATTTCACTACGAGGACATTGCCACAGGAAAGAAAAATAATGAAGCGCCTGTTATAAGTTTGACTGCTATTGTATGGAAATATGGGAAATCGGTGCCACAATGATTGCATCATTATCAACACATATTCAACAAATTTAATGTACGACGATGTAATCAATACGAAAATACTACATATTATATATATTAAATAATCCGTCGCACGATAGAACAGTTTTCAGATATTAATCAAATGTGATATGTTACCTTTACTTGTAAACTATTCTTCTTATTCCATTATATATTTGCTATTCGAAATATAGCTTGAAAATTATATTAAATTAAAATAGCACAACAGCAATTGGTTTTTTAAATTCATCAGTAGCACTTTGCTGCATTTGCGCATAATGTGATTGATTAATCAACGAATTAAAAACTCGCTAAATAGTTTAAATTTAAATACATGATAGTCGAAATTTATTAGAATATATCGTAGAAACAAAACAGTATACGAAAAAATAATTGTGCTTTGCAATTGCAATAAATATGTATAAGTTATCACACGAAGACACAGTAAATTGTTCACGAATATCATAACGAATGGACTATAGATTTGTCTTACATATTTACATGAAATTTAACGTGGCATATTTTTCTGTTATATGCACAATAGGCAATTTTGCATATCACCAGTTTGATACCAGTTGCTTGTATCGTGCTTATGTCGCGTTCTGGACAAAGGTGCTTTGAGAACAATACGAGGCTCGAAGGTGCGATACGGAATGACTCAGCGTTTATAATATTAAGTGACAACGCGTATGCGATAGCGGACTCTTAAATATGGTGCAAAATTACATCAATGATAGAAGAAAATACACTTTAAAAATGGTAAATTATAATTAAAAATATCCTCAAGTTAATGTGTCTCGAAATAATACAAAAATATATTTTGTATAATAAACGTGTACACATACTTATGTAAAACATGAAATGTAGCAGTAAATAATACTTATTAATATCGTAGTCAATGTAATATTAGAGAGAGAGAAAGAGAGAGAGCAGATTCTCTTTTTTTTCACGATTTATATAATATTTACTTACTGTCTCATTGAGAAATTCGTAAATGTTATTACAGGCACATACATAAGGTCTGTTCGTTTTGGCTACACTAGTCACACTAGTTCAGAGATTGTCGTTTTTGCTCGACATTGAAAGGAAAAAAATAATCTCTGAATTAGTGTAGCCAGTGTAGCCAAAACGAACAGACCTATACACACATAAAGATTGATAACATATTACCTTTTGACATCGTGAGAAAGAAATACATAATAGATATATATATATATATATATATATATACATATACATAAAAGATTTTTTTCTACTCTATTATAGGTTCGATTTCTGTTGTTTGCATTCTTCACAAACCAAATATCGACATACATCTAATATGTTGTTATTCACTTTCAAAATCGGAATACATCTCTCTCTCTCTCTCTCTCTCTCTCTCTCTTTCTATTTCTTTAGAAACTGACGTAATATTTTGTTTATATTTTTTAAAAATTTACTTTTAAAAATAATAGTTTAAAAATTTATACTAACTCTGATATATCAAAACAGATCAGTCTTACATAATGTGTATGTATACAAGCACACACAATACTTTGATATTAAATCCCCAAGATTTATCAAAATTAAAATATGAATAAATGATTTTAATTTAAATTTAATATCTGTTATAGTTATTTTATTTTAAATTAAATTTAATATCTGTTGTCACACACATATAAAATATTTATAGCCAATATTTGAAAAAAAAATTACCAAAGAAGTTTGCAAAAGAATTTTTTGATATTAACTCTTTAAGATTTATAACAAAAAATATAATAATAAATGATTTTATTTTAAATTTAATATCTGTTATCATATAAAATATTTATAGACGCGTTTAAAAAATTTTTACCAGAAAAGCAAAAAGTGTTTTGCAAAAAATGTTTTGATATTAACTCTACAAGATTTATAACAAAACATATAAATCAATTATTTTATTTTAAATTTAATATCTGTTATATAAAATATTTATGGCTAATATATATTTGAAAAAATTTTACCAGAGAAGTTTGCAAAAAATGTTAATGATAAAACATTTCTAATAGCATTGAATCGATTAAATTGTCATTTTTTTCATAATATATTTGGATTAGATATTAGAGAAGATGTTTATTGCTCGTGTTGTATCGATAGTGCGAGTCAAAGGCGCCTTTATGCGGTATTGATAAATAAAAACGCGCGCCAAGAAACAGATCTCGCACCCGTACGATCGGGAGGAACTAGAGGGGATGAGCCGCGTAATGCGCATGCGCGCGCTGATCCTTTCCGCAGCTGATCTACGCGCAAAGAGCGAGAAACGCCATACAGCGTTGATACGCAATTTGCGGTGGTTCGTCTGTTCGTCTCTTAGCGGTGTACTCGAGATTGCAGATATTCCGGTTGTGTTACTTCAATCTCGCGACTGCTGATTAAACAATTCCGTAATAAAGAACGCGGAAAGTATCCTGATTAGTAATCTGATTATTAACGAAGACTCGCAAGGTACGTAAGCGAACGAGAAAATGATCCGTTTCATCTCGGCCATATTAGCCGGTAGGATACGTTTCATAATCGATCGTCTACCACGTGTTACAATAATTATGCGTTGAGATCGTGTTGGTGCGTGTAATATACGCCGACTGCGATGTTTATCGCCTGAGATTAATTACGATTCCAGTTTTTTTTTTTCGTGATCCCGTATGAAGTTACACGATAGTGTTTAGTCTGAAAATAATATCGGCATTGCCGGTCACACAAAAGAGCCGATACCGCGCATTTTCTTTGTCTAATTCGTGGTACTCTACCTGAAAACCGACTTCGTGGTATTTAGCTATACACGCCTTTGATATATCGAGATATGTAAACAATCAAGTACTTAGTTACTCAAAAATATTTTTAATGGAATTCACGATTTTTTATCAGTTATGAATATCTGCTATGAATATTCCGAAGCAACTATAAAAAAGATGAAACTTAATATTTTACGATCAGGCCGATAGCAAGAAAGCAAATCACAATTAAAAAATCGATCAAGACGTAATTATCAATTTTTTAGTATTAAAAGATATTTGTATTATATATACGAGTGTAAAGAAATAAAATATAATTGAAATTTTATGAAACAGAAATTGCGATGGTTTATATTATGTTTTGCTCTTGCGATTTATATTTTATTTGCTTATCAGTGACATGTATTTATGGTTTTCATATTTTTGTTTCTTCAACACATATTTCTAAGCAAAAACATACAAAGGATAGTGCGACTTTCCAAGCTTTAATAAGTTTATAGTAAAAAATGTGTAATATTTGCTAAGATAAAATTGCTAAGAAATGTCTTGATCTTTAAAAGATAAAATTATTTTTTGTTACAAATAGTGAACAGTATTTTGAATGAATTTTATCATATATAATTTTTTGTGTATTATTCGCGTACATAATAAAAGTTATTTCTGACATAAATTAATAAAATATTCAAATATATATAATTGAAAATGTTCAAATATATATAAACGCAAGAACTTTTACTTATATTATTTTTTAGGAATATAAGTTTAATTTCTTTACATTAGCAAATATAGATGAAAAATTCTTATTTTGTTGTATAATTTACATTGACTATATTGCTATAATTTATTAATAATGAGATTTATTATAATTTATTAATTTATTACTTTCTCATAATTTATGTACAAATTTATGTATAATATATTATTTTCATTACTTTATACTTAATTGTTTTTTGTGATATAATTTAGCAAATAAATTGGTTTTTAAAATTTTTTTATCTTAAAAAACAATTCAATTTTTAGTAATTATGTATGTTATTAAATTAAAAATGTTTTAATTATACATTAACTATACATTTTATTTGTACATGTTATATATATCCATTATGCTAAATATATATATATGTAATGTGCAATTAGGTACTACGATAAACAAAAATGACAGAAGAACAGTGGGGAATCAGTGATGTGGACTTTTTACCACCAGCAAACACATCATCGGTAAGAGTTTTAAATATTTTTTATGCAGAACTGTACTATATATATATATTGTACATTATTTATGACATATATGCATGTGTGTGCGTCTGTCTGTGTATGAATATATACACACATATAAATCAATAAATGATGAAAAATAAATAAGCTGGTCATTAATGTTGGCGTTTTATTTATAAATAGTTTGAAGAAGGACGTGATCCCTCTCGTGGCAAAGGACGTGGTACAATTCCATACAATTTCAACACCGATACACCAAATTATTCTGTAGGACGGAATAATTCATATGATAATGGAAATATGGATAACTATCAAAAAAATTATGGAAATGCAGATAATTATGAAAATAATGAATATGAAGACAATAATAGTAACAGATTTGGACGAAACAACAGGACTGATAGAGGACAAGACAATGGCAGACCACGTTATGGAAATAATGGTGACGATGGAAATAATCACAGGTGGCAAGGCAGGGATAGGAACAATAGTAGGCGAAATAGAGACAATGATGAAACTGAAGATAATGAAATAATGGAAGTTATCAGAACGATGGAAGAGATAGACCAAGAAGAAATAGAGATGATAATGAACGTGATGGAAATTATCAGAACGATAGAAGAGATAGACCAAGAAGAAATAGAGATGATAATGAATATGATGGAAATGATCAGAACGATAGAAGAGATAGACCAAGAAGAGATAGAAATGATAATAGAGGTGGAAGAGGTGGAAGAGGTGGCGGTTATGGTAGGAACAGGGATGATGGTGATGATTTCAATGAAAACGACAGAGGCCGTAGAGGGAACGACAGTGGACCTAGAGAAGGCAATGAAGATGAACCAAAAAAGAGAGAGATTTATGTTCCACCAGAGCAACCTGATGACGAAAATTCTTTGTTTGGAAATGACGTAACGGTGGGAATAAATTTCGATAAATATGATGACATTGAAGTAAAAGTGTCTGGTGAAAATCAACCGCCGATGATACAATCCTTTGATCAATCTGGCTTGAGAAGTATCTTGTTGGATAATATTAAGAAATCGGGTTATACAAAACCTACTCCCGTTCAGAAGTACGCTATCCCAATTATAATGAGTGGCCGCGATTTGATGGCTTGCGCTCAAACAGGTTCGGGCAAAACTGCAGCATTTGTACTTCCTATCCTGCACACTCTGTTGGCAAGCCCAAGAGATTTAATTAAAACTGATTCTTCCTCCGAACCACAAGTGCTGATTGTATCACCCACACGTGAGCTTACTTCGCAGATTTATCAACAAGTCAAGAAATTTGCCTTGAATTCTATTATACGCGCTGAACTTGCTTATGGAGGAACATCGGTTATGCATCAAAGGAATAAGATATTTGCCGGTTGCCACGTTCTAGTCGCGACACCAGGTAGATTGTTGGATTTCATGGGAAAAGGCAGAATTAAACTTTCTTCATTACGTTTTTTGGTCCTTGATGAAGCTGATCGAATGCTAGATATGGGTTTTCTACCCGATATCGAAAAGATAGTAGATCACGAGACAATGGTACCCGCATCAGAAAGACAGACTCTTATGTTTTCTGCTACCTTTCCGAATGAGATACAAGAACTTGCGGGTCGATTTTTGAACAATTATTTATTCCTTACTGTTGGAATCGTAGGTGGTGCTTGTGCTGACGTAGAACAAAATTTCTACCAAGCATCTGGTCAACCTGAGAAACGAAAATTACTGAAAGAAATTCTAGAGAAACAAAATCAGATGGGAAGTATAGAAGGCACTTTGGTATTTGTCGAGCAGAAGAGACATACGGATTTCATCGCTGCTTTCTTGTCGGAGAGCAATTTTCCAACAACCAGTATACACGGCGATAGACTGCAGAGAGAACGAGAAGAAGCCCTATCCGATTTTAAACGAGGAAAAATGTCGATTTTGGTAGCAACGGCGGTTGCTGCGCGAGGCTTGGACATTAAAAATGTCGCTCATGTAATTAACTTTGATTTACCAAAGACAATCGATGAATATGTTCATAGAATCGGACGAACTGGTCGTGTAGGAAATCGCGGCAAAGCGACTTCATTCTTCGATTCAAGTACAGATATGCCACTTACTGGCGATTTGGTTACAAAGTTGAAACAAACTGGTCAAGCGGTACCTGGCTGGCTAGAATCTGGTGGTGGCGGCGGTAGTCGAACCTTTGCACCAGGAAGGGGATCAAGAAGATTCGGTGGAGAGGATATCAGAGGCGTAAGTAATACTATGCAATTTAGATTTAAAAATAAAATGTCAATAAAACAATTTATTTTTATATATTCGATCATTTTGCCTCTGAATAATGAAAATTCTTGATTATAAAAGCACAAAGAATATAAATGGATCAAATTAGAAATTTTAATAAATATTAGATATAGCTAAATATAAGTAAATAGGATTTATATATATATATATCAATATGATAGACTAATTTTTTGCAGAACAATGATGCGTATGCTGAGAGAAATGATGATGTTGGTTATGCACCTCCTGTATCACCAGAACCAGAAGAAGTGTGGTAAACAAGACGTGCCTCCTATTTTTATAAATTGCTATACGTTTTCTTTAATTTACAATAAATAGATAACAGATTCACATATAAAGTATATGCAGACAAACATACATATATGTTAGACTGATTATTTTTTATTTTTTTTATTTTTTTAGTTTATTGAATTTCATAATAGTATTTTCGTTATGTATTAAGGTTTTGTTTTTAGAGAGAAAGAATTTAAACACATTCATATTACTTTAAACAGATTAATATTACTACCTCAATTTCAGTCATAATTTTAACTATTCTATAATAATAGTTAACAATAGATTTATAAGCCTACTGTATAATTTTAATTATTACACTGAAAAAAATGACTAAATTAATAAATATTTATTTGAATACTCCCAAATGAATTATTTATTTGAAATAAATAAATATTTTATTTGTTTTGAAAAATATTTTCTTATATTAAATAATAGAAGAATTATTTTTTTATATCAAATCAATATTATTAGTTTCAAATAAATAATTCATTATTAGGCAGTATCGAATTCAATAAATTTTTTTCAGTGTACAATAATAGTTTATAATGTCTAAAGTTACTTTCAATAGTTAAGTTTTAGATTATATACGTTTAATTTCATTACTTGAACAACAAAAAAATGTATATAGTCTTGAATAAGGACATATTTTTTTCTTTAATTGAAACCAAACTATCTTCTATAGAAAGTGATATTGAAAAGTTTAATTATTTATCTTTTTGATAATGATAAATTACAAGTTATAATGATTACATTATATATAATTCCTTTTGATATTATATTTTTATGTGTTATAATCAAAAATATAACTTTATTATAAACTTTATACTTTTATAATAAAACGTTTTCTACTGAATTTTATTTCAATATGTTCACTGACAAGTTCTAATATATAGTAACCAAATATTAGTATATTATTATAATTTATCATCAATTATGCTTTTTAATTTATATAAAGAGTTAATATGTCTAACTGACAATGAGTAAAAATATTAATAAAAGTTATGTTTGAAAACTTTATAGAATTGTTTTAAATTTCAATTAGATTCACTTCATTAAATTTTGTTATAAATTTACTAATTTATAACTAATTTCTAAAAATATTGTAAATAACAGTTAAAAATGTTTAATTTTACAATAATAAAGAAGTGATTTTATTGCGAAATATATTGATATAATAATATAAGCAGATAGTACTTACCATCATTCATCGCCATATCCATCAAATGCAAATCCTCATCATTGAGTAAAGATGAAAGAAATCCATCTGTGGTTTGGTTGATCGAATCTGTTGTCGGTGTGTGATAATACATCATATCGTTAGGTTCAGATTTGTAAGTCGCGCCACTCTCTGCACCCATTGGTTCACTACTATTTGTCAAATTCATTGATGTTGCCACAGCTGAACCCAGGTTCGACGACCCACCTGTAACAGTGAGCAGTTTAGTTCAGACAATGAAATTTCTTTTAGATGACATTTTAGATTATTGCGTTCCTATTTTTTTATAAAATTAACATATACTGATATGGTTAGTATTTATATAATTTTCTATGTGTGACATAAAGAAATGTTCTATATGAAAATTATTTTTTACTTTACGTTTTTGATATGTGCACATATATATTAGCTTAATTTTAATTTATGCTGTCAAATCTACTACATCAGATAATAGCAGGATTTAATATAAAGTAGAAATAAAAACTTGCACACAACTTTAGGCAACACTCACCCACATTGTGATAAGGTCCGGTCGAATTGAGATCTCCTACCGGAGGTGCTAAGGTAGGATTGTGGAGCAATACGTTACGTTGCGTCTCGTAATGACTGTGACTTATGCCGTGTCCTGCGTATCCAGAATGTGCTGGATGTGCGAAATGATCCGATGTCGGTAGGGCTAACAGAGATGCGAGATCTTGCCACCGCTGTTCCATGCTCATCGCTCGCATGAATGGCATGCGACCCTGAAACGAATAAATTTGATAAAGTACTAAGAAAAAAATTTTATAAAAATACACGGAAGAATGATACATCTGCTATTTTTATCCTAAAACTTCGTTTTAGGAGACATTTTTCATGTAGAATTCATAAAAGCTTTGCCTTTTTTTATGTACATAATAAAATTAATTACTATATATATATATATATATATTAATATTTTTTATGGTAAATATTAATCAGAGAAATTTATAAAATTTTTTCAATATATTATCCCATAATTATGATTTTCAGAGTAAATTCTAAGAGGCAATTCTTTGCGTGTAATTCCAACGCTTGCTTTTCTTTTTTGCATTAAAAATTGTTTATATGTGTATAATTAATAATTATTAAAATATTATAAAAAATTCTTTTAGCATTTGTTATGTATTTCGTTTATATTAATATAAAATATGAAATTTTATATAATTGCAATGTGATATAACATCTGTTATATTTATCCTCTCAAAAGAATTATTAAAATTTTATGATTTTGAAACTATTTAAGGGGATCTTCTATAATGTAACACGCGTTTTTATTTTTTCAAAATTTTTTAAACAGAAGCTTTTTGCATCGAAAATTTTTCTCATATTTATTAGCATCTACAATGTGTTCCCAAATTTCTTTGGTACAAAAAACTGAAATTAGCTGCAGTGGAGTTATCGATGAAAAAAAGAATTGGCTCATGCTGTCCATGATTGGGCTGGTTCTGCGCATTTAAAACAAAAAATTCAAAATAATCTCTAATTAGTATGTTTTTGGCTATCGCTCCTACCACAATTATGTCAAAATATTTTTTTCCCTCATTTTCACAACTTTTTAAAGATTTTAAAAATATTCAAAATTTTCAAAAATCAAAACCTAATTTTTACAGTGATGTAATTTTTTTTAATTTTTTATATATTTTTTATTCTGGTACCTGCTATAGCCACAGGTATACTAATTACAAATCATTTTGAATTTTTTGTTTAAAATGAGCAGATTCGATCCAATCATGCGCCAACTTTGTTTATCCAATGATGATTTCAAAGCAGTTCACTGCAGCTAATTTTCATTTTTTAGCGAAAAAAAATTTGTGAACACACTGTAGATACTAATATATACGTAGAAAAAATTTGATACAAAAAGCTTTTATGGGTTTTGTATAAAAAAAATGTTCAAAAAAACTTAAAAAATAATGCTTGTTATACTAGAAAACCCTCTTAAGAAATCTTGCATACGAATGTGTATAAATTAATCGCAATTTCATTAAACTATTGATAAGTTTCACATTCGTGTTTAAACAAGATTTATAAAATTGTTTGTATGATTATCGAATCTCAATTATTTTATTTTGTACATCTTATTATAGAAGAATCAAACATCCATCGATCGGATGTCACGCAAGAGGAACCTCGTAGCCGTCTTGCCTGTCAAATGTCAACCAGGTAGACACCAGAGAATTCCGAGGAGACAGGAACCCCTGCTGATCGCGTAGGTGTTGGTTGCAGGTAAGATCGATAAAGGATATTAATAACAGCGGTACTACGTGTCAAAAGTATCCTTTTCCTCTTGTAAGGGCGTACGTCAATCGTGATCGCGTGTCAATCGATATAGGAATTATAATGGGCGAAATTAATGATGTAAAAACCCGGGACCACTTTTATAAGTAGCCACCAAAATAATAACGTTACTCCACGAATTATCAAAATTATCAAAATGTTTGTTGAAATAATATAGATACACGAAAAAAAATTTGCCATCATAACTAAATTTTAGCTGTCTCACGGAGAGAATTTACCCAGAAAATCATACTAATCATGGAACAATATGATATTGGAAGAATTTTATTAGAGTTTCTCTGATTAATATTTATCACACTAAAAAATATTAATATGTACTTAGTAAATTTTACTATTGTACATAGCAAAATTAATTGAACATATTTTTTATATCTTATTGTGATAGATATTAATATTTTTTATTGTGATAAAAATATTAATCAGAGAAACTCTTATAAAATGCTTTCAATACCATATTGTCCCACAATTAAGATTTTGAGGGTACATTTTGAGAAAAAAATTATCTCTCTGTATATTACACCTGAAATTTAGTTATCATGCCTAAATTTTAGCTAAGATAGTTAATATTGTTGCTATAGCATTCTCCATTACTATAGCTAAATAATATTACACTTCTCAAAATAATTAAGAGATAAAAAAATTGTCCAAAAAATAAATAAATTTTAATAGCTGTAACTTTGTTTCAAAAAATGATAATTTAAATTTAAAAAAGGGTTTTAAAGCTTGAAATCTATACTTTCGAAATGTCATAACTTTTTTCATTTTCTTTAATTTTGATATTTTTATATACAGAAAACGACGAAAATAAGAAAATGGAAAATTTTTTTCATTTTGTAGACATGTCGCATACGCGAGAAGATTTAAAAAATTTTTTTGACATTTTCAGGTTAAAGCCTGAAGGTTTCTCTACAAAATCATTTTTTTAAATAAAAATTTTGCTTTTTCCTTATGCAGTTATCGCAAATTGAAGAGAAAATGTTATTTCTACTTTAATCGTTCATAACCCATTCGTTAAAAATTATCAGTACAACAAATTTTAAGAATGGATTCTTAAAGCTGAATCTTTGCTCCATAGTATGATATACAGACTGAATTTTTTAACTCGTCAACTTTTTACAAATAGGTGAAAATAACTTTACATTTTTTAAATTTTATGTTAAGTTTGTTAAAAAAAATTTTCTATTTTCTTATTTTCGTCGTTTTCTGTAAGTAAAAAGTATCAGAATTAAAGAAAGTGAAAAAAGCTATGACATTTCAAAAGTAGAGATTTCAAGCTTTAAAACCTTTTTTAAAATTTAAATTATCATTTTTCGAAACAAAGTTAGAGCTATTTAAAATTTACCTATTTTTTGGACAATTTTTTTGATCCTTTAATTATTTTAAGGAGTGTAGTTACCAAATATTAATCACCATAGTTACAATTTAGGCATGTAACTAAATTTCAGGTGTAATGTAAGAACAGCTATAAGCTATGATGGATAATTTTTTTCCGTGTATCTATATTATTTCAACAAACTTTTTAATAATTTTGATAATTCGTGAAGTAACGTTATTATTTAGGGACAGCTAAAATTTAGCTATGATGGCTAATTTTTTTCCGTGTAGCCTCCCGAGAATGTAAGAATTACAAATACTTTTCATCTATATTATATCACATGTTCGCTAATATATGTACAAAGTTAGACACAGAACGTGCAGTAAGAAACGTACAAATTAGTACATTAAACGCTTTATTACAGGTGAATAATAAGCATCTTATTAGCATATTTCTTGTTTCTTTTACGCTTGTTAAAGTCTCAGCGTAACAGGAAATACGGAATTATCTCCTATTTCTCTCTCTCTCTCTCGAAATGCGTATTTTACGGTCTATCGGAAAAAAATATATCTTTACGTATGGTTCAAGAGCAAGAAACCTCGACAACATGCGCGCGAGGAGAATCCCGATTTGTCCGCTAATTGTGAGAGAAATCTCACGCGTGTACTTTCACAAAATTTCCTCCTGTTCACAACAGCAATAGGAGGAAGAGGAGGAGAATGAGAGAAAGACTCAAAGTTGCATCTCTCGCGGCGTAAGTACGGTAGTGCTGCTGCCGGGGGTAGGTACTCAACAACAACCGGCGCCTTAATGCACATAGGTATTGTCGCTAATGCGCCGGAGCGCAAGAAGAAGATGAATAGGAAAGAGCGCTGCCGTTGGCTGGCTGTACGCTGTCGGGCCTGTTGGATTGTTGTTCGCGGACGCATCAATCAGAGTCGAGCCGGTGCAATCTGTCGAGCGCGACGCCTTTAAGGCGAATCTCGCTTGTCAGCGCATCTGCCGGCCTCTGTGTGCGTTGTAGGCCGGTGCAGCGAAATGTAGGACGGAGAAGACTTTTGTTCCACGGCGATTTGTCGTACGGCGCGACGCGGCACCGCGCGTTTCTAATGGCCGGACTTTACGGCTCATCCTGGTTCGACGTAACGCGCCGTGATTGAGTTATAGAAAAAAAAGCGTGCGCCGCATTTAAGAGCCCGTCTCTCTCTCTTGGTCTCCCTTCGTCTTCCGATAGAGAGGCGATTATCGTCCGCGACGACGTGCGACAGCTTTTCTCGCCGGACGCGACTTCCAGTTTTCAATCATCGCCGGGAATACTCCGGGATTCGTTATAGCTCGCGGCGGATTAATCCATGACGGAGATGGTTAACGGACTTCTCGTTCCTTCTACGAGGAACCGGAGTTCTCGTGGACGGTACATTAATTTCAACATTTGTAAAGATCTTTCTAAATTTATTGGAATGGAGTCTCACTTCAAAAGAGTAATTGACTTAGTTTATTATCAATCTTTTATGTAAAAGAATTGATATCAATTTATATACACATCTCTCTTGCATGATAAAATATAAAAATTCATAGGGATACTCGAGAGATTGCGATATCTGAATTGTTATCTTCGCGATTTAAGATACGCGAATATTTAGATTTATCGGAGTTAAGGTTGCTCGACATAGAGTTCACCTTGACGAATTTACACCTGAAATCTTTGGTACCTATTATCTGTATGAAGTGCGATAAACGAACGTTATATGCATTCCTCAATAGCTACTGGCACTTGATGATTTACGTACTATTACACAGTACAGCACATGTATATGTGCAGATCTCGCTTCACGTGCACAGCAGAATCGTATGAATCCGCGAGAGGCTGCGAGGAAACATATCTGTGCGCTAGCAGATGTTTGAAACGCGCTGTCGAGGACTCGCTAGATTTCTTCCGAGATCTCTCTCTCCCTCTCTTTATCCCCTTTTACCCCTCTGTAGCTATGTGCTCTTTTTCCACGCGTATTCATTAAAATCGTATAACTTTATCAATCAAATCCATTATGAAAATTTCAGAACAGATTCAAGATTCGTATGAAATTGATTTTGAAATCGGAGGATTGTTAA